ATTTCTTTCCTCTGGTGTGTTTCTCCAACAGGGATGGGGTCCTTTTTTTTTTTTCTGTCCTCGTAAGTGCAGACAGATGATCAGAGCGGAGTAAACCAGACTCACTTCAAGTGTTCCCCTGGGATGATCTGCTCCACAGATAGGACACTGGCTGCCTCTTTGCAAACAGGAAGAGCAATGAGCTCATTTCTAAATGCAAACCAAGAGCTCCAGTCATATCTAGTGTCGGGTTAGTGGGTGCGTTTGGTGCAGCCCCTGATAAGTTATCAAAGCTCTGTAGACATGCATTCTGTTGCATAAGTTGTTTGACGGTAAGTGGTGAAACACGGCCCCTTTTTTAATCACTTTAAGTTTGATATTGAATCAATTAGAAGATTTTCCGCTTTCAGATATTTTCCCTACACATACGTACATGAATTCACATGCAGTTATACTCAATGTTCCTTTCCAAGGGAGTCTGACTCACAGAGTACTTTTCAGATCTACAAGTCAAGATAAAGAGTCATGTTTTTGCCCCAAGTCACAGTTTAATGGAGCACATGTTGGGCCTGATGTAACACAGAAACATGCAATGAAGTGTTACATGACAACAACCACATGGGTCAAACTTTTTTTTTTAAATGTATGTTATTTAATGCTCAAACACTGACATATTCATGCAAAAGCTAGGACACTGAATGAATAATGTGTATTTTGTTTCACAAACTGACACATAAACACACAGTAGCAGACTGCCTTGCAGCTAGCAAAACCAGCACATGATTAGCTCGCATCAGGTCACGCATGTATACACGCTTAAGTGACATAAGACTTGTTAATTATGTTTATCAGATACAAAAGTAGGGCTTTGATAAAGTCAGTGATTCATTTATCATAATTCAGTTTCAGTTTTATATCGGCAGCTACACTTGAGTCTGCTGGATGCTGATCCTTATTGCAGGATTTCACAGCAGCAGCGATAACAATGCTTGGGATTGACCCACAAGCTGTTTGTAACATGAGGCTTTAGAAATCTAGGATGACTTTGAGTGTCAAAAATACTTTATATAACGATGCATATCTAGACCAGAGGTTAATCAGATAGGAATAATTAAGGATTTATCTCTGTTTTATCAGTTTACCTTCTTTCTGCCAGGTACCAGTGTACGTTTGCTCCTGATAAGAATTCGTCAGCAATTACACCCAACTGTGCACTGTTTCTTCACTAATGTACCACCTTACATAACATGTCACTTTATCAATAACTAAACAGTCGCTCCGTTTAGGTCTTAAATGACCCAGAAAGTAAATTTCTAAACTAAGAAAATACACCTGCTCCAGTCGGATGAGCATGAATATGTGCGACTGCTGCTTGGCGTTCCATTAGTTACGCAACGCACACCGTTGTCAAAGTGAGCGGCCTTCAGCAGATCTTTTTTGCTGCTGTGTGGCGTGTCTGACTGCAAACAGATGGGAATGTAAACACACAGGAGTAATGTCTGGCACTAAACACACACAACAGGAATACTGTGACTGGTTGGAGAAAAATACAGGGCTTGTTAAAGAGGGCTGCAGTTTCAGTCTCTTCAGTCTTTAGTTTCGAAAGGAATGGATGAGTAATTAGGTAATGATAGCCACACAAGCAGGGAAACAGATACATGCCTTACTGCATAAATTCACCAGGGTGGATCATATATATGTGTATGAGCAGCTTGGAGAAATGTGCTTCTTCCATTTTTTTTTTATCTTTCATGAATAAATGAAAGTGATACAAAGGTGGAGGGACACACAAAAGCAAGCGATTGCAGAGAAAAAGTCAAATTTAGGGTGTCTCAGAATTCTATTGGACAGATGTGATCAGCTGATAAGAGCAGCAGTTATTTCAATTGATAGCCCTTCACAATGACAGCAGGATATTTTGAGTGAGCCTGCCAGAGAGAAAGGAATGCTGAATGACATGGGAAATAAAAAACAGACCTAGTGGCATGCGAAACACAGTCCTCCACATTCAAGTTTTGCTAGAACTTCATTTCCTGGATTTAAGTTGAACAGGGCATACAAATGCAAACAGCACTAGATACCCTGTTGTATAACTGCCCTGGCAAGTAAAATTAAGGGAAAATCAGGGAAATTGTTTTCTTCCGAGGTATGCATAGCTAAATACAACATTTATTCCCCCAGTTTTGGTATTCTGAATAACTTGAGCTCAGATTTTTTTTTTCTCCTACATTGCGTCTTATGTAAGCCTGCAGGTTGCCCTACATAGTGGTTGCCCTGAGCAGACCGCAGTCTGCAAACACTCCATCCAGCTTCCTTAAAGTGTAACAGATAATGTGAACTAACTGTAGCATGCATGGGGCTGTGTCACGGCTGTGACTGTGCACCATATGGCCTTCACCTCTACATGATGCATAATGGCACTCTAAATATTCCTGTGTCAGACTCCTGGAGGAAACATAGACACATCCTGGCACGGCTAAGCAGCGTTTGTTTAGGTCTGCTGGATGCAGCAGTAACACAGTTTGACAAGTTGACCTGTGTGTTTAAGAGTGTGTTTCCTGGGACTGTCTCATGTTGTTTTAAGTGTTCTCTGTGCCGCTCGCTGCCCACAAGCAGGTGGAGGGGGGTGAGGGGGTTGGGGTTGTCAGTACCATCTGGCACTGTTTACTCTGTTCAGCATTGGTAGCAGACAGCAACAAGTGTGTTATGTTAGTGGTTCTTTCACAAACTTCTTGTGTAATTTTTAAACTTAATTTTTTTTTAACAACTTTGAATTGTTGCAACACACACGTAGTCTATTGTTCAACTCATTTGGATTATTTTGTCAGTAACTTGGTCACCTGTAAGTCATGAGTGTTGAAGACAGATTAGTCATTGCATAACAAATTTGTACTGTAAGTAAGGCGTCATTCTTCGAAGAAACTCCCCCTAAACTCAACACAACCACAAGCTGCAGCCTTAGCTACACGTTACAGTAGATATTATGATGTGAACACTAATATAAACACTCCTGCATCTTTCATCATCTCCTCTGTCTACTTTGAAGGGAAGGATAGGCGAGTCACTCTCAGTATGACTCACCGAGTGTGCGTTGTACTCCCCCCTCCTTGCTTGGTTACCAACAACAACATCACCACCACCGCTGTGCCATGGCAACTGTGTGTGGTCATTGGGGTGTGAGTTTACAATACAAATGTCAGAAGTGAGCATTGTCTATGAGAGACACAGAGAGACACAGAGAGAAATCAGCTGTGTTATACTGTGTGAAAGGCTACTGCAGCATCCTCTCATCATATCTGCTCTGCATCCTGAGAGTCCACACTCAGGGCTCTAATTCTCACTCTTATCTTATTCCCACAACCCCACCCCTCTTCAGCTCAACAAGCCGCCCTCCCCTCTTTTCCTCCTTGTGTCCCACCTCTTCATTGCGCTTAGAATTTTCCACAAATTTCTTGGACCCTTCAAATGCTCCATAAAGCATCTTTATAAATGTGTCTTACTAACATTTTCTGATTTATTATCCCTACAGTGAGTCCAGACTCCTTATTACACCTAAAGAGCACCAAAACCAAAGAGACAAAGTTGTAAACAAAAAAACAACAACAACAACACCTTTGTATACAGACACTTGAAAAGACTAATATACTGTATATCAAAGGAAAGAGTATCACCTTTTAAAAATGTAGATCCCTTCAAAATAAAAATATAGATCCATGAGTATGAAAGCTTAATAGATAATGAAAGCTGAAAAGAGGGTTACAACAAAAAAGGCTTTAACTGCTACAGTATAGAGAGGTATCCCAGTGGCAAACATTTTTCATTTGTATATTATTGGGATTATGGCAGTGGAAAGTTTTTGTTTTTTTAAATACCCCAACAGCACATGGAGCATCCTATTATAGGAGGCCTAAAACAAAAGTGACATTCATCAGCTGTCTCTGATGTTGTTGTAATCACAACTAGGTATTCCATATGAGAAGGTCAAATCCCCTGTGTGGCTTTTCTATTTATTACAATAGATTAAGACCTTCTTTCATCTTCCTCACTTAGCACTTCACACTACCTTTAGGGAACAGATGAAAGATAATTGAAAGGAGTGAAGGGATTTCCCAGGAGCTCTTGTTCACTTAGATGTCTGGGATGCCTGGCGATATTCATTACAAAGGCACGTGTGCATGGATCAACAGAGACATGTTTGATTGGGAGGACTTAGGCAAAGGTCCCCATGGAGGTTAAAATGCCTTGCTTTTTTACAGATTAGAATGTTTTTTTTGGATCTTGTCAAACCTTTCAAGCAGAATGTTAAAGACTAATGGCATGCACTGCTGACTGAATGTATCTTCTTATTTAGTGATAGCTCAGTTTTCTTCCTTTTAGTTTTCTGTTTATCTGTCTGCCTGATTTTGTGGTGAAACATTTATCCTGGCCAAAGTTAGACTCAAAGAATCAAAGGTAGCTTCAAGACCTAGAGTTAATGTTAAAAAGATGTACATCCAATCCTGTTTGAAATGAAAACATAACCAGTGTTTATCCACGTTTTGTAAAAAATGAATGAAGAAAAAAAAAAGTATTTTTTCCATTGGGTAACTTGAACAAAGCCTTCTTCCTTGACTGAACTGCCTTATACATGTATGAACACATTAAGCCAATGTGAACCAATAACACTGCCAGAAAGCTTTGATGCCAATTTTACGGCCCACAAAGAAAAAGACTTAAGATACAGTCGGCATCAAAGGGAACGCCCAGAAAACGTCACATCCGTTTCACACTAAGTGGGAAAACAAACCACAACGCCCAAGAGCTGCTGTGTGCCTTTCTGCACTACAAATAAACTGAAAAATCCAAATCTAAAGCTTTATATTTTACCCAGCTGAAGCACAGTGCCAAGAAGGAGAAAAATGTGGCTGCAAGCCACCCTGCGTGCGGGAGGACGAGCTAAGTCGCCTGTGGGATTCAAAATCCAAACATGTGTTTGTGTGTAGTCAGCACTTCAGCACAGTTAACTTAAACATTATGTTAACCTTATCCAAACAGTGTGAGACTGTTTCAGGGATACTATAAATGTTGGATTAATAATTAAAAGGCAAGTGAACTACATACCACGTTTGATAAACTCAATAGCATTCCTCGCAACACATTTTACAACAGTTAATGAATACAACTCAATCATATAAGCTGTTTCCGGGTATTCACTAAAACATGCTATTGTATTTACTGTTAATGATTTTTCTGTTACTAGTGTTATTTTAAGAGTGATTCTTTAGATCTATAGCAAATGGGACCATGTCATATATGGTGATTCAACCAGTTAGCAAATGATATCTGAATGACACTTAGTGCCATGTATTTGGATCATTCATCCAGTCTTTTAATATGTATGGACAACAATTCAATTCAGTTCTTTTCAGTTTAATCATATATTTTTATTCAGTAATTTTATGTATTAACAGAAAGGGGAAAAGGATAAGATCACTTTGTTCGAAGATTACCAAGATTACTTGAATTTTACATCACCAAACTCTTAGAAACGAGCTGGACAACAACAGATGATGTCAACTCTGGGAGATGTGCTGTTTTTTTTGTTTTTTTTTTAATCTGCTTCCTGTTTACTCTCCTCTGTCAGCCAGCGCAAGCATTGGGAAACACCTACCACTCGACTCGCTGGGAGAAGCAGGGAGTAGGGGAGAAGTCAGCAGCAGGTCTATTGTCACCAGAGACCCTTAGCAGGCCTTATATGGACAGACCCGCCCCTGAGAGAAAGCAGACAGGACAGACCCTGCAGGTGGGAGGGGTAAAAATAGAAATGGTTAAAGAATGTCTGTGGAAAAGTCACATTCACATAAATGAGGAGGGAAAAACAACAACATAGATGGCTGACTCTGGGGAATCCCCACCCCCCTGTCTGAGTCACTGTCACAGTGTCAGGAAGGGGGCCAGACCCAGACAGCTTTTTCCTTAAACCCCCTTTACCCCCACTTTTTCTCTTAAAATTGTAAGTGCTGTCTGGCCTGTAAAAAAGGGAAACAAACAGCTGAGTAAGACCAATATTTAATAATATATTTAAATGAATTTGCTCTATTTTCAGTCATCCAGCCTTTACTTAAATCTCAAGAAATCGAATGAATACAATGAAATAGCATAAACACAATTTTGAAAAAAAGGTGTTGAAAAAGCTATTTTTCTGTATTTGTGAAAACTCGACCTAATAAGAAAAAAAAATCCCGAATTGAACAGTAATGTGGTTTATTTTATTTTATTTTTCTTAGTAACTTAGCACAAGGTTGCTATGGTGATGGTTAATTGTTGTAAAGAACGATATGCAAACAGGAAGAGTAATTGAAAGAGTACTTTGTGAGTGAGCAAACTTATTATAAAATAGAGAAGTTGTTTCACTTCATGTTTTTCTGTCCTGCTGTTTCATTTTGTGAAAACAAACATCTCTTATGTAATCTGTCTCAGTGATATCACCATCAACGGATTTTTTGGTTTATTTACAGGAAATGTGGCAGGCTACCAAGGCGACAAAGTTCCTCCTTCACCTAATGACTGTGTTGCTAAAATCTGCTGAGGCGGTGCACAGTAGCGCAGTTATGTCATCGTTTTCAAGCCCGTCCCTTCACCATATTGGGTAAAAAAAACTAAAAATTCATACAACATGATTGGCTGTTGAAAATGTCATACCACCCTGCCGTCACAGCGGTTAAGCTCACACATCAGTTTCTAAAGTGGGCACATTACGTCGTGTATGCCGCTTCTATATTTGGTGTCAACATCAGCACTGCTGGTTGTCAATGATGCTTTTGATACAGGGGTGGTGGTACAAGAGCTTCATTCAGCTCCTCACCCTACCCCACCCCGCACAAGCAGAAAACCTTTTCAGCGTCACAAGGGGGGGGGGGGTTAAGGAGAGTAAGTCAGCTGTCACTAAGTGGATATTAACTGAAAAAGTGTTTGTTTAAACTTTACTGATCTGCCCCAGACTGGAAGTTCAATCTGTTTGGTTTTAAGTAAGTTCATAGCAAGAAAACAACAGAAATGTGTATTGTTTCAAGTTTGTTTGCTCTCAAACACTGTTAAGCATATTAAAAACTCTGTAAAAGTAGAACATTGATGCAAGATTCCAAGCCCAATAGTTGTTTTTCTCCCCCTCATTATACTGATTCTCATCTACAGCCCCATTAATACTTGTTTTCCTTCAGGCAGGGGAAGAGGCACCCTTTATTAGCGCACCAAGAGAGTAGGGGGCCCTCATAATTTCTTTTCCACTGATGACCTCACCTCTGCAATATGGCCTTTTCCTGGCCTCAAACTCAACTTTTCCCCACTAACTGAGTCAGCCAGTTCCCAGACTTATGCTCTTCTATTTCAGGCTTATAATTTCCATCATACCACCGGTAGGCAAACATATATAATTACACCTTTATTTAATATGGAAAAGAGAAAAAAAACTGAATGCTTTGCACAATGTTTTTATTTTATTTTGGTGCTCTAGTTGGACAACAGCACAGGTCTGATACTGGGGCACTGAGGATTAAGTGTAAGAAGTGACAACAGGTCAGCAGCCACGGCCAGAGACACTGACTGTGGCTGCCAGGGTGTTAAAGAGACGGGCCATTGCTGAATATGTGGGTCAAACCCAACACCAAGTAAATCCACGTGTCTGGAAATGGAATGAAAGGATTTATTAAAGCCACCTAGAAGAGTTGACACACATACGACAAGTGTCCAGCTCATTTAAAAAAAATCAGAGGACACGGTTTATTATAAACGCGGCGCACAAATTCCAGTCAGCAAATTAGCACTTTGATGACACTGATGCACAAAGGAAAGGGCGATTTGCTCTCCACTTGTGGCTGGTCAACTTATTGGTTCCTGCCCAGTAACTCAGCAGAACAAAACCCAGTCCTTTATTTTTTGCAAATTCTCCCGTCTTTCTTCCTTTTGACTTCAGCTAAAACAGTCCAAGGTTCCAGCTTGACATGACAACCTGGCAGGTGACACGCCTGGCCCCCTGACACATGGGTGCTAGCAGCCTGAACAAGAGCTGGACCCATCCCAATCCCATTAACAAAGTCATGAATGGATGCCTCACTGTGTAAATAGTGCTGATTTTTCCCCGCCCAGCACAGGTGGAGACTGTGAGTTTTTAATAGTAAACAAACACATTAACTCACATCCTTGGACAGGGCTGACCGCCTTATTTTAGAGGAGGGGGAGAAGGGGACCCACCACAAACTCTGAAAGCTTCAGGTCTTTTTTCTGGCCTAGAAAATGGATCAGAAAAACAGATCGTGGAGTGTTACAATTAGCTCACGTGGAAATAACACTACAGGTTGGAAGCCATATGGTTTAAATTCCCTCCAACTGTTTGTGTGTTCAAGTTGGCCTTATAAACCTGTGGTGTTATAATTCGTTCACATTTTACTTCAAAGCATTCTCTTTTTTTTCAGGCTGAGCTAAACTCATTCAAGGTAAATGTCACACAGGACTGAAGCGAATGATCTTATTGTTCACTAATGTGGGCAGTCAGTCAGTCATTCAGTTAGCTGACCGAGTAGTAAATGAAACAAGCTGTTAATTGAAGTCTTACTCATAAACATAAAGAAGCAGGCACACTGTCAGTACTCTGAGCTTTGAAATAGCTGTGAGCCCTCCAAGTACTTTGCTCTATCAGTTAAAAGTACAGCATGTAACATATTAATCTAATAACCTACATACTGTGTGTGCCAACATTGGCTTATGCAACTCAACATACAAGCATTTTTTTTTTTTTTTTAACCTTTATTTAACAAGGTAACTAACCCATTCAGATCAAGACCTCTTTCACAAGGGTGACCTGGCCAATAGGGAAGCAGCACACGTCATAGTAAACATTACATGATAAAGAAACAGTTTACAAACAATAAGTTAAGTAAGGTTTGCAGACAAAGTGCGTAGTCGTAAAAAGGGATTACAATTCAGAAACACAGGCATTGTCCAATTGTCTTGTGTTTTTTTTTTCTTTTCTTTTTTTTCAAGCACATAAAGCATAATTCAGACACAATTCAAAGACAGTTGAGGAAGATAAAGCTGAATGGCAGATATTTCTCTAACATTAAATACTTCTAAATACATTTACAAAACTATATCAGATAACAAATCCAAGGGTCCTATTTGACACCATCTGCAATATAGTCACTCCTGGTCCCGCTGATGTGTCTGTCCTCTCCAATAAGGACTGCAGGGATCTTTTGTCTTTCTTTGTGGATAAGATTAGAGATGTCAAAGCCAGCATAGCCCCCTCTTTTAGCCCCCTCTTTAACTTTGTCTTCTCACTATCTAACTGACCTGGTGGTCAGTATGAAACCTTCCTCTAGCCCTGCGGATATCTTACCAACTTCTCTACTCAAGAAGGTGCTTCATAGGTCCTTGCCTAGTTGCAATAATAAATACCTCATGCAATGTGCTCGTGTCCTCCGTCCTTTAAATCTAGAGTTTTGCAGCATCTTCTTTAAAAGTCTATCCTGGACCCATAACTCCCTAAAAACTATAGGCATATCGCTAAACTGCCTTATGTCTAAATTATTTTAGTGGGGGGTCATTGCTAAACAACTCACTACTGTTTTAACTGACAATTGTGATTCTCATAGACCTGGCAGTGTCAAAATACTGAAAAAAACCCTAAAATGTCTTAATTCAGTTTGAGAAAAGTATGGTTAATAATATCAGTGGTTCAATAGTTATCAGGTTTTTTTAGTCTTTGTAAAAATGGTCTTAAAGAGTTATAAACTGGGACCCCAGATACACAATTGAAATACTGAAATAGTGGTTATCTTTGGTTTTCTGTTGGTTTCTGTCCGAGTTTAAAGAGCGACATTAACAATGTAAGGAGATCCTTTTTGATTCATAACAAAGGAAAGAGGAAAAAGCTGAATATCAAAGCGATTCATAACTTTCATCCTTGATCACTAGGATGAAAAGAGCTTTGATCTGAAGGCCCTCTATTCATTCAGCCTGTCTTAAGTGTGTGCAACAGACGGACTGTAACGTCCTACTGAATATCATTGGTGAAAAAACAAAGTGCAAGCAGCTGTGTATAGCATATAGCGTATATAGCAGCGGCACACAACAAGATTTAAACAGGCAGTGAGCGAGAAGTGAGCAAGCGGGAAAAGAGAAAATCTGTTTTCTGTTAGTGACCATTTTATTTAGAAGGAAAAGCTATTATTAGAACAAGACCAGAGGAGAACAACACAAAACAAAAACAGGCATACACATGACGTAAGGCTTTCTATATTTGTAGCTTGAATGCTTTGGCTCTATTGTTTGCAGTCATTTTTTCTGCTTCATTTTGTTCCTGTTTGTTCTCTAGGCACAAGAGTTCTCAGAAGCAGCAAGAAACAGAAGAAGAAAAGAAGAAGAAGAAGAAGAAGAAGAAAAAGAAGAAGACGAGAGAAAGGAAATCTGAATATTTCAACTTCAGCTTTGTAAAGGCCACCCTGTTGACAGAGAGGAAAATCTCTTTGGAAATATAGGAGTGTGTGCAGTGTGAGTTAGCTCCGCAGAGTAAAAACACAACACAGTTGTTTTATAGGGGAGTTCAAGGGGAGTGTTGAAACGACAAGTTTTAACAGGTGGCTTATTAGTGTCTGGGGCGGAAAGCGGTTTATAACGAAGAAATTAGGTCAGCAGAAAATGTGTTTGGCAGGACGGAATCACATGTCTGAAAGAGGGAGTTGCCTTTTTGTTGTTGATATAGGCCATCAGTGACATGGGAAGTGGGAAAGAGGAAGGCGGGGGGAGGGGTGAGAGACAGAAACAAACAGAGAGAGAGAGGCTTGTCTTTGCCTCTCTGCTCCGGCTAGCCATCTATCTTTGGCTGTGCTCACGCCCCAGCTGCTGCTGGTTCAAAGTACGGTCATTGGCAGAGAACCAGGCACAAGGCTGTGAAAAACACCCACACAGCCACTTCACACACAGAGGTTAGTCAAGAGAAACAGAATGTCTTTGGAACAAAGCAAAATCTCAGTGTCGAGCCCAGTGTCATGCAGCTTTTGCAGCAGAAGCACCAAAAAAAAAAGGTCCAACATGTACTAAAGAGGTGACAGAAGACTTTATGGAGAAAATACTTTTTGGTTTTGAGAAAAGACTGGTGGCAAGAGAGGTTCCATTCAAGAAGTCACTGTCTGACCCCCAAGTGAGGTTAATCAGAGTGGGAAGCTTTGAGTTATGCAGTCTTCAGAGGTCATGCTTAAGTAGATGAACTTCTGTTAAATCATTTAGTCGATGGGGGGGGGTTGCAGCTTGCTAGCTGTTTGGCATGTTTGACGTTATTTACCTCCCCAGTGCAAAATAAACTATTGCATGTAATAGAAAGGAAAAAAAAACCTCCATCACAATACTTTCAAAAATAGTTTGACATGACTTCAACTTTAGGGTGCTGAAATTTTGAATATTACCCACGGCTGACTAGAGGGACTTTAACTTGTCTGCTGGATCCTCTCCTGCACCTTTGGTCCTGTGCCAAACAATCTGGGCCAAGGTCTGGGTGTCAGTGTTAAGTAGAGGTTGAAGCCGGATGTATGTAGGTGAGAGTTTGTTTTGCTAAAGAACACAGTGGATATTGTATTCTTGTTGTTGCACGTTCATACAGTGTTAGTGCCAATGTCCTTGGGCTTTGCGGTGTGTGTGTGTGTGTGTGTGTGTGTGTGTGTGTGTGTGTGTGTGTGTGTGTGTGTGTGTTCTTCCAGACACGTGTCCTTGAACACACACACTGCAGGTGAGCAGAAAGTCATGTTCAGCAACCATCAAGAACTTGATCCTGGCGGCCCGGGTCAGACATCGGGGTCAGTAATATAAACACAAGCAAACACTCACACACACACACACACACACACACACACACACACACACACACACACACACACACACACACACACACACACACACACACACACACACACACACACACACACAAACACACACACACACACACACTTACACACAGTTAGTCGCACACACGAGTTGTATGATTTCCTTGTAAGGACTGACTTGTTCCTGCACTCTGAACGTGACTGTGCCTCAGTTGGTACAGTTATTGTTTCAGCGTGCCTGACTTGTCTCGGGCGTAGCTGATGCAATATTCTGTTTTGCTCTTGTCTGGCAGTATGTATGATGGAGGTGCAGAACCTGACACGTGAGAAGTGGACCTGTGCCAGTTTTTGAGGTGGCTGCAATCACCACTGATGAGAGTAAATTCAGCCAAAAAGTTAGATGATACTGGAGCTCTACCAGGGAGGGGGGTGCAGCCTGTTGCAAACATTTCTGGTGTGATTAATCGCCCATTTCCAAGGAAGCTAATTATATCCAGCCAAAATAGGATGCCTCATAGATGTGTTCCTTTCCCCCTCTGTGCTTCTAAGCCTTTGTTTCCAAGTAATTACTTAAGAAGAAGCGATCAAGTTGTCTTCTTACTATTCCAAATAAACAAGATTCAACTGGTGCTTTAAATCTTAAATGTTGTATGCAATTTTCAAAAAGTACATTTTTTCTATAATTTTTTAAATTTAGCCATCAATCATAATGAATCTCTTCCAGAACTACAGTATACGGTTGTATATAGACTCATTTAATTATACATTTAACTCTTCAGATATTTAATTTGCTGTGTCTTAGATTACATTTTATCTTCCCTAAACTATCAGGCAATAAGATGAGCTCATCTTTTTACTTCAGTCAAATCTTATTATGTTATACATGAGCTATGCTCTCTGTGCATCGCTTGATTTGTCACAAAACATATCACACTTGTTCACTGAGATGTGCATGTAATGCATTTTTTACGAGGCACAGTTTAAAGACAAATGCGATGTGGCAAGTGTAATGATATGGAAAAACTCCGTTATTACAGTCGATGAGTGATTTTAGACATATTTAATTCTCTGAAAACTTTACATCCTGAGGGCAACAACATCCTCTGACACGATGCCAAGTCTTTTCTTTCGTCTCTTTGGTAACTCTGATTTCAACAGTAAATTCTGAACAAAGAAACACTGACTTAATTAAATACAATGTTTTGCTGAAATAATTCTCTCCCTCTTTCTCTCTCTCTCTCTCTATTTCAGAAATAAGATATACTCATACAAATCTGCTTATTACTGTTTGAAACACAGATCTTGCTTGTATTTGTACGAATGAAATGATAACATTTACTTTAAATGTACATAAAGATTAAAAACAGGACACTACAGAAATAATTTCACAAGCCAAAACATTTCTAATTCTAATGTCTCTGAGCTCTGCACAGCAGAAACAAATGTTCTTTGTAACAGGAAACTGTAAGTAAGCCCTGCCCTCTCACTTCCTGGAACAGGCCAGATTTATTGGCACCATTACAAATATCAGGCAGCTTCTGAACACACATATGGGACATGGTGGGTGCACTAAAGTGAATGTCTTACTTGACAATCAATTTAGATGTTAGCATAGTATTGGCTTTGATTCATTCATTACCATTCAAACCTAATGACAAGCTGTTAAACTGCTGTTGTAGGAACAGCAAATAGTTGATCCTATTTTCTGGACTACCGTAATTCATCCATCACCAACAACACACATAAAAGTTTTGCTGTTCTGAAACAAACATAAATTAAAATCTGAAAATCCATTTCCTTGTGTTTTATTCATTTTAATCAGTCAACGACATTCTCAGATCAATAAATACGAACAAATGAGGAATATAAGACATTAATGTATTTGAAATTAAACCTTTATTGTCCCATAAATGTCCCGAGTCAGTGCCATTTTATACTTAAAAAAAGTGTCAAAGTTACAAGGCTGAAAAAGCTCCCAGAGCAAATATCCATTGTTTTTACCTGGGATATAAATCATCCTCACGGAGGTCAAAAATACATATTGTGCTGAATCGTCACTGTTCACAGCTGAGCAGCTTTTAGAGGAGTAAAAATGCACATGTTTTAAAATGTGTGTGACGCACATTCATTTCCCAGCTGGGCTGAAGGGGAGCAGAGCAGGTACAGTGAGTCATATTCCTGTTGATTAGATCAGTAGCCCCATGCTGCTATTTGTGTTTGTGTGTATAAAGTGTAGGCATTTTGTTGGGGTTGTGTACTCGGTTTGAGCCTTGCTTGCATCTGTGCCCACAATATGCTTCATGAATGAGCTCTTTCCAACACTGTGTCCAAGCCCTTTCCTGTTCAAGCTGTCGAATTGGCAGCGATCGGGCACCTGACTTCCTGCTCTCAGGGGCGGATGATCCGATAACCGGAGCTGGGCGGTTATTAACGGGACAGTTTCAGGGAAGAAGAAACAGTTAAACCTACACCATCTATTCCCAGCTCTCTGTGAGGTGCTAATTCAGAACGGAGGGAGGGGATTGGTCAGATTTCCAATATCCAATAAGGAGGATGATTCTTTTTGTGATGGCCTAGGAGGAAAAAACATCATGGAAAAGATGCACATAAAGACCCTTCTTCTCTCCACTAAGCCAATTATCTTAAACAAGAAACTCTGTGCTTTTTAGCACTCAAAATGTATATTAAAAAAAGTATATAAAAGTATATAATTAATTTTCAAAGTGCACAACAACAACAGAAACCACAAAACAACAATAACAACACCAAGATAAAACAAAATGGAAATTCCATCAAGACTTAATGGAACCATGGAACATTTCACAACATATGTTACAAAATTACTGTAACACACTTAAAAAAAAAGAGAGCTCAATAGCATTCTGGTATAATGCCACTAGTTCTTGTAAATGAAAAAAGTGAGGTTAGGAAAAGAAAGAAATATATATTTTTTAAGCTAACAAGGTTTGTGTAGGGATATTTTAGCAAGATGTACAATAATCTACGTTATAGCAACTTGAAAGTCTTATACCTTTGAGGCAGTTTTAATGTGGTTCTAAACCTAAAATATTAGCATTTCCCGGCTCCAGTATTGGTAGCTGTGTCGACACTAACACATTTCTGGAGACATTGAGTTCAGGGCCTAGGTTGCTGCTCCGTCCACTGTACATGTACATACCCATGTTCTTCTCATGTTCATGTCATAACACCAACCTTGCCAGGACATTCAAGATTTGCCTAAATAGACAGCCTCCTGCCTCTAACCCCTTATTAACTCCAACCAGCACCCGGATTAAGTCCGGGATCCAGACAGCTAACGAGCCTGTATGTGTCCAGTCACCTATTCACAATGCTTTATGACTGGCTGCAGCTCAAGCCCTCCCTCCTTTAGCCGCCACCCGCAGAGGGACATTTGCAACACAAGTGCTTAGTAGAAGGGGAAGAAACGGGAGAGAGAGAGAGATAGGTGGTCAGAAGTGCGTTTCAAAGATTAGGTGGAGAAGATGAAAGTGAGGGTCACTCTTAAAATATGACTTGATAAAGATGATGTGGTGCTTAATGTTTATTCATAATAATCACCTTAATTGAAGGTTAGGAGGGTCCTTGAATACAAGTTTGCCATCTGTATCTATTCAAATGTTGGTAAAACTTTGGACACATTTCTTTATACCAAATTAGGGGAAATTTACAACAACTATACAGACATTGAGAAACCTCCACAAAAATGGAGGCTGAATTCATTAGAAAACGGATATACTGATTTAAATTGTACAGGAGTTTCTTATAGAGAGGTTAGAAAGGGCTTTAGGCGCTGAGGCGTTATGAGCAACTTTTTTCACGTGCACAGAGGCATGGGCCAATCCACATGGAGTATGAACTCCTGCAGAGTCAGCTTTCCCAGCCTTTCTCAGGGTGTAAGCACGGACTGTTCACAAACGACCACAACACTCCTCAAAACGTGACTCAGAGCTGTTGCCTCAGATTTCACTACGTTTGGAATGCGACCTGCAACAGATACTGATAAAAAAATACAAACAAAATAAGTGGAGTGGACAACATGCAGACAAGTTGGTTAAATAAAGATAAAAGTTGAATGGGTGCAAAACCAAGAAGGTAAAGAGATTCTTGGGAAGTATAAAAAAAAACTGAGTCAATGATGAAAATGTATTGTCTCTTTAAAGATGGAAAGTATTTTGCAAGAGATTTCAGGGTGTGGGAAAATACTTTAACTTGCACAACAGTCTGCCGATGTTTCAGTTAGCAGTTGAACAGAATGATTGCCTTTGGGAAGTTGAGGAGAGTTTAAGTAAATAACAAACTAATAAATCTCAGGTAAGTTGCACCTGTAGAAGTCATGGCAATTGATTTTATACTAAGAGCAGAGGTTCAGTTTTGTATGTAGGTCAGATTTACTCGTGGCTCTTTCTCAGAGGCAGACATGACCCATTACTGAGATTTCACACATAAGGAGCACAGCACAGTGCATTAGGCAAACACAGTGAACTGAATGTTTGAAAGAAGTTCACTTTCCCACTCAATGGTGTGCTATAACTGGAGCACAGAACAAGAGTTGCAGCTCTTTATGAAATCAAGTGGAGTTCAATGAAGTGGGGAACTGTACTGTACACATGGCCTGTGGTCCGAAAGTGATCAGTGAAGTAGACCAAAAGTAATTTGACCTTCTACACCTTAAAACCTGGACCTAAAAAATGGGTGTGCTCATTATCTGCAACCAACTCTGCGTGCTTTATTTGTCAGAGTTTATCGAACTAATGCATGTAGAACATAGATGCAAATATGAATCTAATGTACACACATCAAAACACCTGCACAAGCACTCGTCTCATTTTACAATGTTGTAATGTCAGCACTTTAACGTGTAATTACACCTCCATAAATGAACCACAAACACTTCAAAGAAACTGTTTCATAACCCCACCAGCAGGCCTGTCTGGCTAACAGCAGGTACATTAGGCACTAATGTTTGCACCCGTGTGAGATGTTGTGACCTTGTTGCCACTTTGCCGGAGTTATATAACATCCCCAGACAGGTGAAAAAACATATGACCAATTAATAGTGTCTCCCTGGGGAGCAGCACAGCACAACTGCTGCTATGACAGTACCCGCCGGCTCAGACCGTTGCAGCTGCAGGTGAGGACACTGTTTGTATAATAAGTGCGAGTGTTTGAGTTGCAGATTCCATGCAAGTTTTGGTGTGAACGCCCCTGAACCCAGTGGTGTAATGCAGGGTAAACGCACGGAGTATACCCACTTATTTTACAGTCTCCAGAGTCTAAATCCCCTCTGATGAATTCAATTGATTACTTATAATCTGTATTTCTCACTTTTGTCAACCAATGTAAATTATGCCTTTTTCACTGTTCTTTGTACAAAGCAGAGTCCCGCAGGTCACACACTATTTTTTCATCCTGAGTAGAATTTTCTAATTTATTAAGTGTTCCGGAGTGTTCTTATTATTTTGTTCATTTCTTTACGTAACCTCCTGTTTGTGCATAATGTGACTCTGTGAGTGCGTTCTCATGCAACGTCGCTCATCTGCTATTCCAGCTGAGATCACAGCCGACGCCCAGTGCAGGCCAATGTAATCCTGAGGTGATGACACACACACACACAAACACACACACACACACACTCAAGTTATTTTTGATATCATGCAACATATGCACATGACTTACTTTTACATGACTTTCTTAACTCATGTCTGTGAACAACATGTACAAATGATGTTCTGTATGTGTGCCTCGGGCAGAGTCTTCAAAAACAGAAATAGTTTAGTAATAGCTGCAGCGGACAGTTATGAAACAATGTAGCAAGAGGTTATCTGCTCTTCGTCAGGAATATGCATGCTGTTCTTTATTAGGATTGTGTTCAATTTACATTCAATCAATGCAAAATTAAACAGTGTGCCTGCAAAGTGTATTTCACCCACTTGCATCTTATGAAACATACGTCAGATTTGCCAAATAGGTTAAGAAGTTTCCAGTATTCATGTAACTAAATGAAAGAGCTCACAGCTCATAATACTTTATATCATAATCAAAGCCTTTAATGCTGGGTCTGTCAGTTTTATAGTGCACTGTAATACAGAACATGAAGTGTGCTTTTTGAACTTGATGCCAGTTGCCTCACTGGCTGACAAATTACAGCCTTTTCAGTGGCTGTTTTGGCTTAAAGGTTTGCCATGGTTAAATGTGGTTGTATAACAGCAGAAAGGTAGGGTTTCTTTAAACAGAGGTCTAAATTAGCCTCTTTGTAATTTAATGCTGTAATGTGAGTAAATGAGAGCGATCTAAGAAGAAAAATCTAAAGAGGGACATTTTCATCCTGGGAGTTTGCCTTGATGCTTAGGTCTCTGCTCAGATTGAAAAAAAGGTTAATGCCTGTTTTTACACCCAACTTCGAAGGCGTCCTTCAGACGTATATCACTATTTGAGAGGCGGAATATCTGCAGTGTATACAAACACAGACATAAATACATTCACATAATCATAGCTATGGAAGTAAACATTCACACTGACATACATACACCCTCACAAACATATACTCTGCCACATATGATTTCCATCCCATGCAGCTGCCTTCTCTTACAAAATGACATAATGACATTTTCATTCTTCCTGGTGGATCAAAAGGTATAACAAAGCTGTAAAACGTTTAGTAATGTTACACATCATGACAATCAATGCCCCTCCTTTGGCTCCTTCAATGATAGTAACAATACTTTTTGGGTATTTGTTAACGCTTCAAAAAAGTAACAAGTTGAAGCAAGAT